TGGTGGAGTTTGAATTCAATAATAAGATTCTAATGATTGTCAGGAATAAACCATCTAGTTCCCCTTTAGGGATGGAAATCTGCCTACATGTGACTCCAGACCAACAATGTGGTTGACTCTTAACTGCCCTCCCAGCAACTGGGGGATGGACAATAAATGCTGGCCTAACTACTGACATCCACATCCCATGAAAGAATGAGTGAAAGAAAAATACCACAGTCATATCAAACATAGTAGTGCACTGTTTCCCCTTTGAAACTATGGTGGTGCTGAACATGGAGCACACACCCTGCAGTACCCCTTTCCTGCTCATGTGGTATTTTTCCCACCCTCTTACACGTTGAGTTGGCCCCCTTCACAACTGTTATCTTCTCAGCATCCCAGCACACTACCTCTAATCTCCACAATTCAGTTCTCAACTTCCCTACTGCAGCACTGGCCTCTGCTAATGTACTTTGACTTTCAGTGAACAGATCCAAGGACTGACCATGGCCTATCCCACTGACCAACTTGGAGAGAAAGCCCCAAATGTTGAAGGAACAGACCGCTGACTGAGATCTGTTTAGCTTCCTGACTGACTTGTTACAACATTCCAGACTGGTTGCACTGGACTTGCACATCTGACTGTGGTCCATTTGCCAGATTGTAGAGGTATGGAGCCCCTGTTTCTGACTGATCTCAGCGGCTAACAGACCATGTCCAATCTCCTGATTGACCGTGTCAAACGCTACATCCCTCCCCCTCTTTTGTCTGAGGACATAGGCCTTTTTTTTTGTAGTTCCTCCTGGGGCATTTTAGCAGCGGGTCAGGTTCTGCCAACTCTAACTCTGACACAGGTGGTATGTAACGTATAGTAGGTCGCCTCTTGCGCCTGGAGTGTCTCAGCAGAAATCCATTCTCTGCTTCAAGTGGCAAAGGCGTTGAGGCGGCGACATCTGCCGTGTCTACTTCAGATTCCGAGATATCTTCAACACTTGATGGAAAAGGGAGAACTCATGGGTTCTGGAACAATTGAAAAGGCTGTCAAGGAGCGAGGCATGTTTTGATCCTGCACCATTTCAGAGTTTACAGCTTTCTTATGGTCCATGTGCTTGTTCAGGACCATTGCACCTACCCAAACTTTGTATGTCAATGGACAAAACCTCACATTAACCCTGCCTCTTACCCATAGAGGGCCATTCCCATGGTTCCTACACCAAAATTCATCCCCTGAAGTAAACTGTCTATTTCGGTTAGCGGAGTCTTGTGTCCAGCATTGGCACTCCTGAAGCTGTTTCATCACCTCCCCACCATGTCCAGGAAGATCAGTTTTAACTTGGTGTGGAGTTTTCTCCCCATTAGTAACTCTGCTGGAGCTATCCCTGAAGTTGCATGAGGTTGGTCTTATAATCAAGTAGGAACCGGGACAGTTTGGCATCTAGTGAAGCTGTAGACACTTTACTTTGAGACTGCCTTCAAAGTTTGGACTGCTCTTTCTGCCAGGCCATTAGATGATGGATGGTATGGTGCTATCCTTGTATGTTGAATATCATTCGACTTTAGGAGTTACTCAAATTCCATGCTGGTAAATGATGGCCTATTATCTGTGACCAACATGTCCTGGAGTCCATGTATTGCAAAAGATGCATGTAGGTTTTCTATCATCATCCCCATGTTTGACGAATGAACTCTATGCATGACCAGCCACTTTGAGTGGACTAAGAACAGTGAGCCCTGAAAGGACCTGCATAGTTGACGTGTAACTGATTGCAGGCTTTCCTCAGCTATTCGCATGAATGTGGGAGAGCTACTGGCAATAATTTTTGTTCTTGTTGGCACTGCCCCACCAATGAAGCTATGCCAGCATCCAATCCTGGCTACCAGGCATAGCTTCTTGCCAACATCTTCAGTTTAGAAACCCTTGGATGACCCTGGTGGAGTTCAGCCAGTATCTGTGGGCAGGTGGGGGTGGGTGGTGCTGATGCTGACGTTTTCTTGAAACAATCACTCTTGCTCCCGAGAATACTAATATGGCATCCTCTCCTGTGACCTGGACTCTCTGGGTCCAAAATAGTTTCAGTTCTGGTTGTGATGGCCCTTTGGTTCCTCCCCATCACCACCAGCTGTTTCAGTTTTGCCAGAATCAGATCTTTGTGTCCAAAGTCTGATATTGTCAGCTGTGATTGGAAGTGTGTGCGGAAAATTTAAAACCATTTTGGACTCTATGACAGGCGGTGTATCTGCTAGCAGAAGGTGGTTCAATGCATCCACATTTGCTACTTGGCCTCCTAGACAGTGTTCCAACTTGTAATTATACGTACTTAGTATAGAGCCCCTTGCTGAATTTGGTCTGAAGCTATGGGCGGCACTGCTTTGTCCTCTTTAAATAGACCTAGCAGGGGTTTGTGATCCATTATTAGTACAAATTTATGTCCATAAAGGTATTGGTGGAACTTCTAGACTCCAAATATGACTGCCAAACTTTCCTTCTCTGTCTGGGTGTATTTATGTTCTGCATTAGCCAAAGTCCTGGATGCATACACTATCAGGCGTTCCTCTCCATCGGACCATTTATGAGCTGATACCACCCCAATGCCATATGAGGAGACATCGCATGTCAATACCAGATCTCGCTTGGGATCATTACGTGCCAACAACTTAGAGGATGATGGCTTTTGAAGCGGAGAACAGGAAGATTTAAAAGAGACTGGAGTGACAACGTTTTCACACAGAGGGTGATTCGTATGTGGAATGAACTGCCAGACAAAGTGGTAGATGCAGGTACAGTTACAAAATTGAAAAGGCATTTTGATAGGTACTAGAATAGGAAAAGTTTAGAGGGAAATGGGCCAAACGCAGGTAAGTGGGACTAATTTAGTTTGGGCAACTTGGTAAGCATGGATGAGTTGGACTGAAGAGTCTGTTTCTTTGCTGTATGACTCTTATGAATCTTTCTGAACCAATTCTGCATCATCAAGCTTGGGTCCGAGCCTTTTAGGACAATCCATAGTAACTGAACCAGCTGCTTCTCATAAGAGTCCAGAACCAAAGTTGTGCACTTAATCTGTAAAGGTTCAGTCTAGCGGAGGTCTTGCGCAAACCTGAGGATTGGAGACCAGTGCAAATTTTGTTAAAGATTGGTTCTGAGATCACTGAAACTACCATGCCAGATCAACATCTATTAGAACCAGGTGACCAATTAGCCAAACGCTTATTTTGATTTGAATGTTGCTAAGCAATTTAACTGTTCCAAACCAGATATAGGTGGACTTGCCAAAGTGTGCACTCTCTTGGATACCAGCCTGAGTTCTCTTACTCAGTTTAAGTCTAGCAGGACTCTTGTTGTCCTGAGTCCAAATACCAGCTCACTGGCACGGATCCTAAAAAAAATTTAACCACATGGCTTTCTTTTGGGGTTTTGCTGTGGGCTGACCCAGAGTCCCTCTGTTCTGGATATGTCCAGAGTAAAGCTATGCAATTGCTTTCACTCAAGTGGCGATCTGCCAGCTCAATCAAACTTCCATCAGAATATTCTGCAACTCATGTGCTCTGCTTGCTGCATTTTCCAATGATAAAGCCAATTGTAGTGCCTGTCTGAAATCCAGTTGAGCTTCAACTATTGGGCACTTTTATACAGTTACATCATTAATCCCACATATCAAATGGTCTCTCAGTATCTCATTAAAGGGTTAAACCAAAATCAGATGCCTCTGCCAGTTGTCTTAACATAGTCAAAAATCCTGATATGCATTCCCCCGGTTTTCAAATGCCAAGTTGAAAAAAACCCAGCAGCATCTCAGGGTCAGAGAAGGCTTGGGGTCATAATATGCCTTAACTAAATCCATCAGCTTTTGAAAGGGTTTAGTATGTGGTACCTCAGGGAAAGTTAGGAGCCTAATAACTGAAAAGGTTGTGGGTCCGCAAGCTGTCAGGAGAATTACTCACTGCTTTTCATCTACCCCAATGTCATTAGCCTGAAAAAAAATACATTTCTTTCAACATACTGGGCCCTGTCTTTGATGGCAGGATCGAACAAGTCAAGCTTCTCAAATAACTGCATGGTGCCAGAAATGCTTACCCTCACCTCAAATTCAACTGTTGCAAGCAAATTTCTTCAGAATTGTGCTTTTTGCCTGTTACCACTTAAAGAACTCCACAGAGGCTATTATCACATCACCAAGTTACCATTTACTCAGAGAGCCCTTGACACTGGTCCAGTTCCCTCAGAACCAGCTGAGTGAGCAATACATCTGACACTCCTATTCTTATCAGCCAGCTGGGCTCCCTGATTGGACCAGATTAACAGCTATAGTAAGGGAATCTGTATTCTAAGAGGTCCACCTAGCTTACTTTGTCACGATCACTACAAAACAATTAATAATCAAAGTACTGATTTTTATTTCTGAGTGTACAGAATTGAAAAGTAATGAAGTTGCGCTAAATGTGTAAAGAGCTCTGACTTAGCACTGGAGAAAATGCAAAAATTAGATTTACAAGGATGACATCATTAACTCAGAGATTACAGTTATTACAAAAGATTTGGAAATAACCTGACAGGGGATTTTAAAATTATGAATGTATTGGAGGTATAGACTTGGAGAGATTTCTATCTGTATGAACATCCAATGTGTGGAACTATAAATACAAGATAGTTACTTTTAAATTCAATGGATAAATCAAGACAAATTTCAACACTCTAAAGATTGGTCAGGATATGAAGCAGCGACAGTGGTTAATCTAAATATTTTAGATACTTTCAAAGGAAAACTAGATGAGCACATGAGACAAACGGCAATAGACATATAGGCCACGATGTTGAGACGAGATGGATAGAAATGGGTGGAAACACCTGTGGATTATCAACATCAATCACTCTAGTTTAGCAGTTTCTGTGCTGTATAGTCTACGTAAAATAACTCAGAATAAAAATGTTTCTGATTTATCATGCTGTATACTGACCCTTTGTGTCGAATGTGGGACCCCTTTAATTTAACTATGTCATTCCTCGATAGCTCTCCTGAATGGAATGCAATGTGGAGTGGGGACTGGTCAGAGTTCTGCGCAGGCGCGGTGGTGAGGGTGAGGCCGGGCGCCGCGCAGGCGTACTGGCGGCCGGAGTCTGCCAGCTGCAACTTCAAGCGGGAGGAGGGCGGCGCGTGCGGGTTGTGTTCATTGAGTCCGTTATTTCGGAGGCTGTCAAAGAACCACGCACCTACTGCCCGACACAGCCAATGGCGGAATGCGGGACCATGGAGGATCTGCGAGAAGATGCTCTCATCGACTTCTTGGCGAAGAAAGGCGGCCGAGTAAAAAACAAGGAGCTGGTGGAGAGGTTTAAAAAATTCATCAACGCGCCGGAGCCTCAGCTAAAAGGTGAGGCAGGGTCGTAACCGGTCGCCCACCCGCCCCCTCTCACACCTGGTTGGCCCGCGGTACCACTGATGTCGCGCTTGACGACGCCTCTGGCTGTGTGAATGGTCAACCGGGCTGTCAATCATTCGTGGAGACCCCTCTGAGGTTTTGGTCAACCCTGGTGGAGTGGCGGGTTCGGTGGGTGGGGACTGGTGAATTTTTGGGATGGGTAATTTTACCCTGGAAAGGCGCATCAAGGTCAATTAATGAAAGGATGACAGAGGCTGGCTTGGCAGGGTATTTTTTTTTTTAGCTAGTTGGGTAATTGATCATGGGATCTTAAGGTTTTTTTTAAGCTTATTGACCAAAGCCCCCCCCTCACTGAGAAATGCATCTTGCATAAGTAACTCCAGTATTAGACATAACCCGCAGTGGTACTGGGTGAGTGCTGTCTCCATATTGGGATGGCAATTAGACAGTAAATGTTGAGAAACTATCTGCTTGCCAAAAGGATTAAGATGGAGAAGTCATCCATTTAAGGCAATTGGCAAAAAAGGAATAGGAACATGGTCAAAACTTGTTTTCTTATGTAACAATCTGGATCTGGAATAGGTTGCCTGATAAGGTGCTGGAAGGAGATTTAGTATCATTCTCGCTTTCTAATTAGGAATTGCATAAACACTGGCAGTGTAAATAAATACTGGGCTGTGGGGAAAATGGTACCAAGAGCAAAGTTGTTTGGAGAGAGCCAGTGCAGGCACACTGTGGGCTGAAGGACTACCTGTATTAGAATCACAGAGTGATTACATATTTCAAATGGGTAAATACACATCTGGATCATAAAGCTCAGAGGTCACTGTTTCAACCCTTAATCTGGAGATGACATGTTTGGCTGTGCTGGATAATTGGCCTTATTGCTTCCTGAGATGTAATCATCTACAGTTTTCTGGTGCTAATTGCTTACCATTTTAGATTAAAAATTATTGAGTCTGAGCCAAATTGGGTTTGGAAGTGATGCCATATAGAAATTTTGAATCAACCTGTTCATACCTGTTATGGCACACCTCTGGAGCAACGGGACTTAGACCCATTATTTGGACCAAAGGTGAGGACACTACCACTTTACAGCAAGAGCACCAAAATGATCTTTCTATATTCAAGTTAGAAATGCAAATGGTACATATTAGTTGTGGAGCTGTAGTCAAAAATAGCCTTCATTACTGTGGCCGTTTTTAAAAAAAGAAAGCATAACTGTGTCCATCTTTGTTATAGCTAACTATTTACATTATCACCTCTTTGTTTTCTGTGGCGTTAATTTGACTAGGTTTTGAGAACAATGTCTTTTACTCAATATTGTATAATTCAATGGCCTGCTTTTCTATTTGAATTAAGCTTTTTGTCTGAAGTGTTTGGCTTTGTTTGTATTGTCGATAGTTGTATTTAGAAAAGTAAATTCTAGTAGTGATGTGCCAAAAAAGTTTTGTGTACATCATATGATCTGTATTGCATATTGTCAGGTCAAGAATGTAAATTTTTAGAACAGTTTTCATTACATAGCTTATTTGCTGTTAGTATAGGTGGCCTTGTGAATTATAGGAAAAGCCATGAGAGTTTGATACCTGTTGAACAATGTTGAAGATCTGGAGCATGTTGGTTTGAGAAGGAAGTTGAAAGTCGTGAGGATCATCTGGGTTTTGGAAATGAAATAATGAGATTGTTGTGCATTGATTCAAATACATGTAATACATTGCAACATTTTAAAAGTTGAATCAGAATATTGAAGGTAGTGATGAGATGGAGAAATAAAAAATCATATCATATTATTCTGACCGGTGAAAGTTTATTTATACTTGTGCAAGGTGTCTACATGGGTTTTGTTTTAGACTATGAAGTATGTTCTTGCCATACCTTGTGGTCTATCTGAAAATGTCTTCTCTTGTATTTGCTTAGACCTCTTTCCTGTAAAACCTCAATTTCCTATCACATCACTACTGAGTATCCAAAAGTGAAAAAGCAAATCAAAGTTGAATGAATTTAAAAAAGTAGTGAATCTTAGGAACACGTCCATTCCATAGGTGAGAATTGAACGATTTTAAACAGATATTTTTCTCGGTATCTTTAATTTCCAATACCAAAAATAAAACCATCCAAAGGTAACATTTCTTAAAAATGTGACCAGATTTATCCAATGAATCATTTTGTGCCTTTTAATACCTTCATTTGAAGTGTCAACTTTATGGCCATAGAAGAATGTATGCTTGGGGTTCAGTTAGAGTATTTTCTTGAGAGTAAGTGAAGTTAGTTAACAGTATATCAGTATGCAATATGATTGAATTTCCAATGTTCCTTGTATATGATTTAAGCCTAGAGGATTTTGAACTACAGATTCCTCTGACTGACAAGGGGGATAGTCAGTTACAGTGACACATTTGGCTTTATTTTGGCTTCAGTTAAAATCCTTGTTTTCACAAAATACGCAATGTTCAAGCTGTTCAAAAATGAATTTTAAGGTGTTTTCTTTGCTTATTGAAAACAGATGCTGAAATTCTAGAGTCTTACTCTGTATCAGAGGTGTAGCAAAACATAACAGCTGATCACAAATCGCAGAGATGAGTTCAATTCAATACATGGCATGAATAAACCATGCAAGATAGTGACGTCTACCCCAGGAAGTGCCAGGAAATTCCAGCTGTAGAGCGATATCTAATCGGATGGGAGGGGAAGAGAGTCTGAGCATGAGGCCATTATTGGGCTAACGTTATGATTTGAAAGGAATTTTATTCTTCGGGTTGAGGTTTTGGCACTGTAAGGTACTCAGCTCCTTCTGTGATCAGAACCTTGCCTGTCTTGGATTTTTGAGATGTTTTTGAAAGCACAGTACAAAACTGATATCCTCTCACTGTGGTTTTTGCTGGACCTATGCATCCATGTTGGCTGTAATTCCTAAGGCAATCAAGAAATGGGAGCTAAAGCTGTAGAGGTGATGTAGAATGCCTTTCCTCTCATTTGAATTGTAGCCAAGATTCTAAAGGGTTGGAAAACCAGTAGATCAATGATTTGCTTCAAATATATTTCTTCATTCGAAGAGTACACCCCATTTGTACAATTGTAGCCCACATTTCCAGGTCAGGTAGTTTAGCATCTGGAAGGTGACATTATAATTTAAGTCAAGTAAGTGGATTAAGAATTACTGATGACAGGAAAAGGGCTTGATGGCGGTAAGACTGCAGGTGGGTTAGGAATGAAGCCTCAAAGGTAAGAATGCAATGTGTACGCCAAAGGGTTAGTTTGACTCATGCGTGCCAGAAACAACTAATGCTGTTGTCCGTTACTATGTCTGCACCTCCCCCACCATAAATGCATACACAGGCAGATATCCCCTTTGCCAGGACCATAGTCACCCAATTACAAACCACTTTTGTTGGTATCAGTCCAGATTGTCAGCATCAAGTGGCACATGTTCCCCAGGTAAACAAAAAAAAATTATTTAAACAATGAAAGTGAGTTGCATGATGCGTTCTTCCAATATAGAGTGAGAAAGTAGCGAGTAGTTAAAGTTGGTATTTCATTGACCAAAGGAGTCCACAAAAAGCTATCATTATTTGGCTTTATTATATAAAATCAATCTTGCGCAGAAAGCATTTGAACAATGGCCTTAATGAACAGATAATGTAAAGCAAATTAACATCTCAACTTAAAGTTGTAGAGATGTACAGCACAGAAACAGACCCTTCAGTCTAATTCATCAATGCTCACCCACAGATATCCTAATCTAGTCCCATTTGCCAGCATTTGGTCCATATCCCTCTTAAATCCTTCCTATTCATGTACCCATCCGGATACCTATTAAATGCTATAATTGTACTGGCCTCCGCCACTTCCTCAGGCAGCTCATTCCACACATGCACCACCCTCTGCTTGAAAAAGTTGCCCCTTTTAAATCTTTCCCCATTCACCTTAAACCTATGCCCTCTGGTTTTGCACTCCCCTACCCTGGGGAAAAGACCTTGGCTATTTACCCTATTCATGCCCCTCATGATTTTATAAATCTCCTATAAGGTCACACCTCAGCTCTGAAGCTCCAGAGAAAATAGTCCCAGCCTTTTCAGCCTCTCCCTATAGCTCAAACCTGCCAACCCTGGTAACATCCTTGTTAATCTTTTCTGAACCCTTTCAAGTTTCACAACAGCTTTCCTATAACAAAGAGCCCAGAATTGAATGAGGTATTCCAAAAGTGGCCTATTCAATGTCCTGTACAGCTGCAACTTGACTTCCCTACTTCTATATTCAATGCACTGAGCGATAAAAGCAAGCATACCGAATGCTGCCTTCACTACTTTGTCTACCTGCAACTCTACTTTTGAGGAACTGTGAGCCTGCACTCCGAGGTCTGTTTGTTTGGCAATCCTCCCTGGACCTTGTCATTAAGTTTATAAGCCCTGCTGTGATTGACTGTACCAAAAATGTTGCATGTCATGTTTATTTAGATTAAACTCCATCTGCCCCTCCTTGCCGCATCTGATCAAGGTCCCACAGTAACCACCTTCGCTGTCCACAATTTTTGGATCATCTGCAAATTTACTAACCATACCTCCTACATTCACGTCCAAATCATTTATATAAACGATAAAAAGCAATGGACCCAGCACCGATCCCTGCGGAACACCAACGGTCATGCCTGCAGTCCGATTTTTAAAAAGCCCTCTACCATCACCCTATGCCTCCTACCTTCAAACCAAATTTGTATCCAAATAGCTAGCTCTCCATTGAGTCCATGTGATCTAACCCTGCTAACCAGTCTACAAGTGGAACTTTGTTGAACACCTTACTAAAGTCCATAGAGAAAATATCCACTGATCTGCCTTCATCAATTCTCTTCATCACTTCTTCAAAAAAAAATTAAATCAGTCCTTGCCTTTCCAAATAAATGTAAATCCTATCCCTCAACTTGCCCACTGCTGATGTCAGGCTCACCAGTCTATTGCACCTTGGCTTTTTCCTCACTGCTTTTCTTAATTTAT